AACACATTAATTCGTTAATAGAGAAAAGTTATAAACTAAATTATATTTGTGTCAAAAACAGCATTTAATAGAACTCTATTCAGTATTACGTTAGGTTATGTTATAACGGATCCAGTTGGGCGTATGTTTATGTTTAATACCATGTGGAACATTTAGTAAATATAAAGTACTCTCAAATGTAAAATCTAGCACAGATTGAGATGTTTTGGAAAATGAGCTCTTAAGCACTGTAAGGCTTTTACATTAATGAAGCATTCTAATTATACTTATAGATATTTTCTGATTTATAGTTGGCTAGCTAGCATATAGATGTTTTAGTATCTTTGAATTTACCAATCTGTTATTAAAATACTCTCCACACAAAGATTTACAACAGTTTACAACATGACTTGAGCGGTTAGTGCTCAAGTTTCGAATATATCAAATATGTTCCTTAGCATATCTACTTTGGAGTTGCCTGCGGTATCCCTGTCATTAAAAAAGCAAAGAGAAGAAATCTTCCTGTTCTTCCCATCCTAAGATGTATTGCAATAAAATATCGTTCTGTCTTTCATTTGAACTGAACTTAAAGACTTTAAAGCAGCTTTATTAGCTACTGATGTATATATTTCTTTTTTAATCAATATATTGTGTTATCCATTTCAAGACACGCTTTTGTTTCCCTCTCTTCTGTTCTGTTCTGTTCTGTGTTAAATATAATTCTATGAGAGCAACAACAACAACAATTTTGTTTCCTTAACCAACTTTATAGTACTAGAAACAATAACATATGTACCGTCCTCGTATACCCAAACTACTCTAAATAATGTCCTTGTATTTTATTATTTATGTCAATTCGTAAGGTCCTTTTTATATTTTACTACGTATACAAAAAAGCTTCACATATGTAGTTACATTTTTACTTACCTGTAACATAAGTGCATGCGGCGTATGTACAAAATATGAAACATTTCCTTTGGGGGATGACTGCAAACACAGTTGACCATCGGTTGCCACAGGATTGTACATGAAGACGATGGCATTCGATAGTTTGCCGTCGTACAGTACCTTTTCCCATAAAAATGTTGTCAAAAATGTTGTCAAAGCATAACAAAATAAAGATAAAAAGAAGAAGAAAATATAAAAATTCAATTATGTGAAAAAATGGCTGTGAAATTTTTCTGTTAAAGTTTTTTTTTGTTTGGCTGAGAAATATGTTTTATCAAATTTTTTATTTTGCGATACACAAAGCACAAACACATTATTTTACTACTTTTACTCTAATGACGAGTAGTGTTAATGTAAGGCACAGATTTGGTGAAAGCATAATTTTTATACACCCTCGAGGAAGTACACGTATGTTTACTTTTCCTCCGAATTTAATAAAGCAATAAGAAAATTCTTAAATATTTTAAAGATGTCTAAAAATAATAAAACAATAATAATAACAATAATTTAAAAAAAAAAAATAATTTGTAATAATAATAATTAATAATAATAATTAATTTTGAACGGCGTTAATTGATTACTCAATTTATATTTCAGCATAAATTGTAAAGACCTTTGGGCACAGATTCTGTTTAAAACAGATTGTTCTGGGTAGTTTTTTAAACTCTACTTTATGTATACAGAGGTTTATTCTGAATTATTATGTTGAGGCTAGTTGAGTTAGTGCACTTGAGCACTTTTACTCGCTATTAACTGCGAGGTTTCTTCATAACCCCTCTCTACGCCTCGACTGGATTATTGTTTATCATCAGACTAAGCAATTATTGACCTCAGATCGCATACCTCCCCGAGGAGCCTGTAACCATTCTGAGATTCGATAACGCGGTGTTGGTAAGCCTATCAGTTTTCGTAAATAATTTCAGGGTTCTTTCCTTTACGTATATTTTGATATGATATATTTTGAGGTTCCTGAGGATGTCATTCGTCCTAATGTACCATGGTATCTTGAAATGTCTTTTCAGAGCTTAAATTTTATACTTATAACAAAATTTTTATTGAAATTATCAATAACTACTAGAAAATGTTATCTAACTTAAACCAGCTACCACTAGATGGCGTCAATATTTTTTATATGTGTGATCAACGTAATATTTTGTAACTGAATAACCGTGCCATATGGGAATATATTCTGAAGCAAAAAGTGATCAACATAGTCTAATTGATAAAGTTATATAAAAATTTTCATTTTATACCTTTTGTTTTATTTAAAAAAGTAGTGATTTTAGATAATATGTTATAAAGCTCTTCAAAGGCATATATATAGAATTTAAATTAAATATTTTATAAAGCAAATTGTACTGTTTTTTGAAACAACAATTCAAGCCTATATTTTAAGATTAAAGATTAATTTGGGGTGCATAAGTATTCTATTGATCACATATCCTTTGAAATCGGGCGAATAGCTTATCACTAGATAAGCCCATTAGGAAATTATTATTGTTACATTGAAAACTCTCTCAAATGGATGTTCATTATGAGTCAATTTATGTATGTCCAATGGTTAAATTGTTCTAAACAATGGTTAAAGAATTTAGTTTAACAAAATTATTCATCTAAGAGGAGTATCCATGTAGTATACTCATGGATACTCATGGCAGTTTTCAATGTATGTAGTATATATTTATATGAAATATATATATTTTTATGTGATCTGTATTTCTATTTACATATATTTTTATATAAAAGCACATTATGCCATGAATATCACAAAAAGAGATTTTAGATAAGTGTTTATTTATAAAGCACAACAAATTCGGTGTTTTAATTAGCAGCTTTCAGTGGTGCATAAACCTCCATATACAAAATTAACAACAAATGCCATAGAATAATAGAAAACATTGTTATTCGATTGAAATAATAGAAAAGCAAATAATATATATTTAACAAAGGATAAAAAAAAACAAAAAGAAACTGAAAAACATCAATCGGAAAACTAAATTTTGATGAAATGGTTTTATTTGTAGTTCGAATGCGTTTACATACGGAAACATGTTTAAAATTAATTCGAATTTATATATATGTAGATGAGAGAGAGCTCAGAAACCTAAATCATAAACTTTACACAATTTCCAGCATTTTAGAGTTTTAAGTATTCAATTAGCGCAATCATAGTGAAAAATAGTGAAGGTGCATTATGAAGTACAGAATCGGACTATCGACGAGCTCGAAACCATAAATTTTGCCAACATGTGGACTACGAATATTTTTGCAAAACCAAAATATAAAATTTAAAAAATCAAAAACTGAAAATGTTTTTAATTGCAAGTAGAATTTTACGCTCTAATAATTCGATTAATTAAAAATTTAAAGCCATTGTAATGCACATAAGTGGATGGATATACAATATAAAATTGGAATTATGAACTCAGTGAAAGTATCTGCAAATCGAACTCTGTTTTAATTGATGTTGTTCAGAGCAAAGCAATGTACAAGCTCTCTTGTGTAGAACATTTGCACTTAATTAAGATACAATTTTTAGTTTATGTACTAAACTGTTAAGTTCAACGTAAAAATTATTGATAATAAGATACTTAAATATATTAGTTGACGAGTATGATACGCATTAAACGAATTATTAAGACATTAAAAAAATATTATTTTGAAATTCATTTTGTAACATAAATATGAGGACAAAAATTATTACTTAAATAAATAATGAAATTAATAAAATAAATAATCAAAAATAAATAAAAAGCATGCTTACAGCTTTAAGCTGATTAATTTCTTCCGTTTCGCCGGCAAAACTTCTCGATAACTCGCCGCTGGCGTTGGATATCAATGAACTCCGTCTCAGTTGTTCTAAAGCAAATTAATAAACACAGGAAAGCAAACGGAAAATGTTGATAAAAGCGAATAAAAAAAGAAAAGAAAAACAAACAAAAATAAATTTAAAAATTAATAAAGTTTAAATAAAAAATGAACATCAAATAAATACCAAAGGACACATTTGCTGTGGGCAAATGACTTAAAGGATCAGTAACGACTTTAGTGCCTTCGCTAGTGACATTGCCTGTTGCACTTGCTGGTAATGTAGTTGGTGTAGTAGGTGTACTGGGAGTAGTAGCAGTAGTAGTAAGAGTAGTATTTGTATGTGCTTGTTTATCGACCACGCCCCCTAAGGCATTCAATACAGCATTTGTGGAAGCATTACGTGCTACTACAACAGCGCGTATCTTAGCAAATGTTGCATTCAGATCAAGCTTTTCATCTGCCCAATCGATGGCTTGAGCCTCTTGCTCTGCATGTGTAGTGCTGATTTGACTCACCCTTTTATGATTGTCCGGCAGGTTCAGGTAGCACTCGTTGTCGAAGCGGAATTGTGACTAGAAGGATATAGTTGTGGTTTTTTTGGTTGTTTTTATGTAATTGCGTAGCACATGAAGATTAAAAATATTTTAAAAAAAAGTTTTTGGAAAAAACATTTATTTTTTATTTGATTGTTTTTAGCGGTGTCATTGCGTTGATGTATTAGAAAGATGTGTGCGTAGCGTGTTTGATAAAAAAAAGTAAAAGAATAAAAAAAATGAATATAGTTCGAGAGAAACGACAATTGTGAGCACACTGTTTTAATATATATATATATATAGAAATCACATATATAATAAATATTTTACATTTAAAATATAAACAAAAAAAAACAATTTACAATTGTGTTTTTAAAATTCAATGAAAATTTATTACTAAATGTTATTTAATGACACTTACCTTATATCCTGGCCCTAGGCGGTGCATAGCACAGATTTGATGCGCAGTCAGTGATTCACTGAATAGGTATATTGCTGACATTTGACCACAAAATACGCGCTCTTCATCCAATTCTGGCGTGGCACCAATATAACATTTATCAAATGGCTGTAAGAATAACATTGCTTATGTAAAGTACACTATAATAGATAATATACGTAGAAGAACTGCTATCATAAACAAAATGTAGGCTGGTAGAAAAAGATAAGCGTTATATATATGTTATATAGCTTACAACCATTTTTTTAATAATCTTTATTTTAGTTGATATTGTAGTAACATGTATAAACTCTTTAGAATAGTGATGTTCGGGCAGTTTGAATATTCGGATCGAGACTCGAACACTTTAAACGATAATTACAAAAGTTCTTACATATTCGAACTGCTTAAAGTTGTTTAAACTAAATAGATAAAGAATCTGTTTTATGTTTTATTATATTTTTGTTTCATTTTAAGCAAACACTATAAGAGCAAATGCTTGAAAAACACTCGCTTCGATTACTTTCGAGCGGTTTAAATTATTCGAAAATATCGACGTCACTTATATCAATGCTTCGAAAAGACTGCAGAGTATTTACAGCACTATTTCAAAGCAATCATGTTCGAATAATCTCAAGCGACTCAGATATACTCGAACATTAACAACATGGAGGATTCAAAAAAGTCGTACAATTTTTACAGCATTTCTTCATCGTAGACACAAATAATAATTTGCATTTCTTAAAAGTTTTAATTTAAAATTCAATTATCTCAAACAAACCTTAATTATTTTAACATTATTTTAAAATTTAAACTACTTAAGTAAATAATTTATTAATTTGACTTACATCATTCGTTGAAACGAACCACGCCATTTCAGTACTGGACGCCATTTGTCCATTTACCAGGCACTTTATTTCGCTTTTTGTCCAACGATTATATATGTACACTATCGCAATCATATACCACTGTAGAAATAATAAAGGAATGAAGGAACATATTTAAATAATTAATTATCAATTACATTTATCTCGCAACTAAAAGCTTTAGTACTTATACTTAAGCGGAGACAACTTAAGAGCAAGGACATTCATTAAAAGCATCTCAAAAAAAAAAAAAATAAAAAATATTCGTTATAACTTCTTATTTATAGCAAATAAATTGATTTTCTTTCATTGCTCATTATAATTTAATTGATTTAATAAATATCCTTTGCATTGATAGTTCAATAGCAGCTCAATGATTACAAAACAGAAATAAGTATAGAATAAAGCATAAAAGTGCTTCACTTTTCATGTTAAAAAAGTCTTAAGTTCTACATTTATCATCGAGCACTTACCTTTCTTGGCTGGAACTCATATTTTACACAATGCTGAAATCCTTTGCCTTTGACTTTCATCGATGTGAGTACAAGGCAATTGCCAACAAAGTGGGCAGTGTAGCCAATCCCTTTCGATGTTTTAAAACTGTACCATAAAAATGCAAGGAAGGGGGAGAGACGGTGAAAGAGAGAGATGAAATGAAATTAAAATTAATGAGTTGCAAATACAAAATTTAAAGTTTTCACAAAAATTTCAAAGCAGCTGTGCTACGCTGCACTGAACTTACCAATAAAGGTATGGCTTCTCACGTTCGATATTCACAGAGTTAATTGGATCCAGGCGAAACCACGTCGTAAATGTAAAACCATTTTCGTATGGCCACTTAGCTAACGGCGGCAATACCATCGCCTGCAGAAGAAAGAAAATATTGTGTAAAAGAAACTCAAGTGAAGTGTACCGAGAGAAAAATGATATAGTGGAGCCAGAAAAATTTTTAATTGTATTTTGAAAATTTTTGCAAATTAAAACTAATGAGGCACTTTTCAAAATAAAAATGAGTTTTCAATCCCAAGTTTCCGGCGTACTCATTTTGTACGCCATGTTCGTTGTTGCAAGTTCGGAAAATCGAAAAATGGGCTGTGGTGATTTCAGAACTTTCATTAAAACTCACTTTATTGTTAGGAGTCATAACAACTTTCTGCAGGTTAATCATTTTGCTGTCATAATTAGTGCCGTCAGTACCGTCAGTAGGTTTGCCTCTTGCCACTAATTTGTGCCACGTCAACACTTGACAAATTTGTTGCCAAAACTTTTGCTTAATATCTAAACTGGTTGCTAGGGTTGCCATGTGCACATTATCCTTTAAATAAAGTCGGTCTAACTGTGTATAGAATGTGGATATGTAAGGTGAAGTTGATTTTAGTTTTCTATGAGATTTAGCGTTTCGGTCAAAGTTTTAATATGAATTATAAATTAGTCAAAATACGGTGGAGTGAGCATTGTATCATAATGTTATTATGAACTCAGAAGTATTTTAAATAAACCATCTAATTTTAATTAAATCAGGAAAAGTTCTTTTATAATCCATATTTTAAAAGAGCTGGATAACGATATGAAATAATTTTACAAATTAGCTTACATGAGGCTTTCGAAAACTGAACGCATAACAAAATTTATAGAATATACATAAATTTAATGATAAGTCAACATAAATGATAAACTTTCATGGGTTTCATTAATTTTTTTAAGTATACTGGTTTAGCATAATTTGATTGGTGGGATGATTTTCCCATTTTGAAACTTTTTTAACAAAAAAAATTTTTTTTGACAAGTCAAAAGATTTGACACTACAAGTCTTTTCTGTTCAATCGATATATTAATCTCGAAAGTATCTTTTCTTGATTTTTTTGTATATTTTCTTTATACAAGAAAATGTATATATTTTCTTTATTTTGTCTGATAAACACTCAGTTTTGAAGCACTATAAAAACTAATCGTATGAATCAGAATTACCATTATTTGTGAAATACATATAAAGAAAATCTCCGTTATGCTCTGTTTGAATTCTTTACCAATAAAAACTATTTTGGAAATTAAAAACGAAGAAACAAAGTAAAGCATAAGGTCAAAATTTTCCTTCTAATCGGTTTAGTAACTAGTGACTATGCTGCAAAATTAGTAACATAATTGGAATTAACTGCATTGAAAAATGAAAAAACGTTTTTGGTTTCTTAAATTCTGAAGAAAGTTCAAGATATCCTCCAGTCGATTCAAATAAATCTGATAAAAGGGTTGCTAGATAAAGGCGCAGGTATGAACTATAGGTATCAGTTATTTTCTATGTATGGGTATTCATATACGTATATCAGTCAATACAATTTAATCTACGGTAAACTCTTTTCTGCTTAAAAAGAGAATGAGGAGAATAAACGAATTAATTAAGAGCACGAATTAAGTGTGAAACTGAGACAATTTGTGCCAAACCTAAATAAATCTGGCCATCCACAAATCTATGTAGATCTAGAGAAATAGGACTGAAGTCAGCAACATAATTTCCCTTCTGATTGCTTAATAGTCAGTGATGCACAAAAACTTAGTGGCCTCTGCCAAATGTTAAGGTTTTATCAAGCTTTAGTCTATTATATAAATATCTAGGCTTAGTAAGGAGCAGGGCTACTACTTTTGCAAGAGTCTTCATTGATTCTACATTCTTATCTCGAAGAACTATCAATATTTATTATTTTTTTTAGCGATAATTATATTATCGGAACAGAAAAATTTTGAATCAGGAATTCACGTATCATAATAATTCTTTAGAAAAGAAACCACTCTAAGGTTGATAAAATTTTCATTAATTTTTGAATAAAGTTTTATTTAAGTATTTAGCACTTAACATTAAATGATTAAGTTATAATTCACTAAATTAAATTTTAAGAATAATTACGTTAACAAACTTCTGTTGGATTTTTCCATTCCATTTTCCGAATTCTTTCATCTCATTCCTTCAATATTGAAGTATTTCTTCATAAACTCAAACTATCTTTATTAAGCTGGTTAGTATCTTAAAAACTTTTACAAACTTCAAGAAATTTTACTAAAATGTTAACCATTTTCTGACCACAAAGAATATTTTCCATAGCAATTATTAGCTCATTTCTACCAACAATCAGAACATCGCACCACAACACATAATTTATAGTAAAAGTTTAACCAAAAAGGAATGCTTGCCTTTCTTTGCAGAAGCCACATTGAAGAATAAGAATCTCCAACTTTTGAATTTGTATTAAACTTATTTCCGATTTGTCGAAATTTATATAACAAGTTGTATTCTCAACTTCAGTCTAGTAAATGGGTTGCTTATGGGCACAGCAATGAAGAAAAAACGCACCAAGCAAAACGAAAATGAAAAACAAGTAAACGCCTTAAAATATGCAACATATGGCATAGGCACAGCAGTTACCAGACCATAGCGTACAAATGGGCATTGTTTCTAATAAAGTCGTAAATCAATTATGTTTTTATACGAATTTGTTGCTCGATGCTCAATGCTCGATGCTCGAGACGGTGTCTTAACTTGTATTGGTAACTGCAAATTGAAAGGAAATGAGAAAAATTGATTTATAGCGCCGTTTAGATCTCAGGAGTTTAGCTTGTCTAGTAAAATACCATAATAGTCATGATTGTGATTTTTTGCCGCATTTAAATGAAAAATATTTCAATTTAGAAAGTTGCAAAAATATGAATACAAACCAGTCTCCTCCTTTTTGCTTTTAGGGAACATGTTTCACATTTTTACATTCCCCCTAGTGTTTTTGCAAAAGAGTTGCCAACCACAAAATAGCGAAAGTTTTAAGAAAAGTGATTTAACTTTTGATGATTTTGTATTTTAATTTTAAATATTTATGTTGAACTAAAAAAAAATATTTGAAAAAAATTGGAAAAAAAAGACCGTGTAGGAAAATTATTTTTAGTTGCATTTAAATGGAGAAAAGGATATTCCAATATACTTTGAAATTCGCGCAACAATACTCTCACCCCTGAGGTTGTAGTCAAAATTTTACACATTTTAGTAAAAATATTTCTGCAAAAACGAGTGTGTAGTGTGAAGTGAATGGTGTAAAGTTAAATTTTGCACAAATTATTGGCAAGTCTGTTACCAGTGTTTCACTTAAATTTTTACGAGAATAGTTGAGACTGCTCTAGAGGATTTCCGAAGGTGAGTGCGAGATAAAAATTTAGAAGTTTTAGAGAATTTTTCCATTAATGTTGAACTTACTACCCTTTGAGCAAAATGTACACCCGTGATAATAACAATTTGTGTGTATATTCAAGTGCTTCATAGAAGTCGGTTTTATAGAAATGATTTCATAAACTATGTATGGTCCAAAATATTACGCTGAAGTGTTATGCAAAATGAAGAAAGAAAAAGTGTACTGACGGCGAATTTTTTTTAAACTCTTAATAAGTTTTCCAACTCTTTTGAATGTGGCATATATATACTTTAATTTTATGTATGTTTACTTATTTGCATTTCATGTTTATACATTTTTATGGAGCACATTACGCTGAAATTCGATTTCCTCGCGAAAATAATGCTCAATATAATAAAAGAAGAAATTTTACTGAATGGGACACAAATAAAGGCCCACAACGGCATTGCCATATGTGTGTGTTGTAGTAGAATTTGTGCACATACTTTCCCCTAACCTTTTCCATCTTGTAATTGATTTGTATTAATAATTGCAAACAAGGCAATTCTTCGTGTTACGATAATAAAACCGAGAAACATAAAATTGACGCTCCACGTTGATGTTGTAAAATATTTTAAGGTAAATATAAGTAAAACATGAATACTGCAGCACTCAAATGTACCACATCAACATACAAATATATATATATATATACGACTTAGAATATATAAAACGTACAAAAAGCAAACTCAATTTTTGCCTAACGAAATCATTATGTACCTCATATATTCATGAGAGAAAAAGGCAGTCAAGTTGTTGTAATTTTGTTGTTGCAACGGTAATAAAAAGCAAAATTATGGCACAAAGTTGTAAAAATACTCGTGCACATGTAAATAGAAGTCATATTACACTACCAGTAGAATTGTACAAGTACATACCGATCCTTTGCGTCCTGGAAAACTAAAGAACACATCTGGCCCATTTCTATGTGGCATTTGACGGAGTACATTCAGTAGTTTGGCGGAGTGACGTGGCCATTTGCCATTAAACGCCTTCATTGTGCCGAAGAGTAATTTTAGTTCTTTAACTGTTATGCTGTAGCTGGCCAAGACACCAAGCATCTCGATAAGCAAATCTGTAAGAAGAAATGAAATGTTACTTAAAATTTGAATTACGGAAGATGAAAAGGAAATATAAATAAATATTAAAATAATATGGGACAGTATACAGATAAGTATTTACATACAGGAGAAATTAAACTATATCCAATAATTTTATAGCTATGGTAATATGACACCACATAGTAACCGTTATAAGTAAAGTAGGTTGTAATGATAGCTTTTGTGTAAAGAACGTTTAGGAGCACACCATGGTACCGCTCCACAGTAGTTAGGTAGATTATTAGGACTGTGTTTGCATAAGCAATGCTTAGCAGCTTTCATGAAACCAAAGCATTAGGGAATGACAGAAGAAAAAATAAGGATAACCAACACCAACTGTAGTCAGGTTAAGATCCGACAAAATAAATTTAATTAGAATATTAAACTGACAAAATTGTGGATAGTTTACAAAGGTAAACTATCCATTTTTGGATATTTTGCTTTTTTCTTAATATTTAGCTCAATTTTTTCTTAATATTTAGCTTTAGCTCAACTTGAACTACAGTTTTCCATCTCGCTGATATGTAGAGTAAAAAGCTAGATGTGCTAAATCTCTGCAACTTTTTTGAGAAAGATGTCTCACTTTAAATATATGGTACCTCAAGCTTGTTACTTTGATGCTTCTATATATTGTTAATTAAGCTGGTTATAGAATTATATATATTGTTAAGTTTATCTGCATATATATCTTATGATTCAATACTTGTTATTAGAGACTCAGACTGAGTTAGTTAATAAGCCGTAAAAATTTTTTTACAAAGTCTACTCAGTTAGTCTTAAATAGAAAAATAATAAACTACATGATACTTCCCTCGGAGGAAGATAAATTGTTTTTGCTCATTTGAACAACATTCTAGACAAGATAAAGAAATCATTAATTCTCCTATACTTTACGTATGATAAAGTGCTTCTCTAATGGCTTTAAAATTTCATTCCAATATGCGGCCACTAAATTAAGTTATTTTAACAAGAACAAAATTTGTATAATCTGTTGGAAAAAGCAATTTATTAGCCTAACATGTTATAGGTAACATTACTGTTTGTAGAGTGCGAACATTGTCATCATATAGAGCCATTTTAATAAATTTTTTAAAAATACTTGTCCGAGTATTTAAAACAAAAACAAGTACGTGAAAACTTTAAGAAACTCAATCATGTTCAGCACATATGTACTTACATTAAATGTAATTGCACTTTACTATAATATGCACTTTTATGTGTTCTACTCCTTC